TTCCATCATCTCCCGGACCAGCTCTTTCTTCTCTTGCTCGGCCTTTTCCGAGAGCTCTTGGGTAAGACTCTTCTCCTGGGTCACCAGGCGTTCCTTTACGCTGGCCAAGGATTTCTCCATGGCTTCGTAAGAGTACATTTTCAGGCGAAGAGGTTTCAGCTCGGCCTTGAGATTTGTGATGGTCGCCTCCAGCTCGTCATTCTTCTTCTGGGCTGCCTCTAACTGAGCCCGAACAGCGGCGGTAGCCTGCGCCTGATAATAAAGAATATCAATGGTCAGAACTTCATTTTGGGCAATTTGAAACATTGCCTTATCACAGTCAGAGGCGGCCATAGCTTTTGCAGCCTTTACCTCTTTGTTCTTCCGATCAAGCGGCTTGCGAAGGCCGTTCACTCGGAGCAGGGCCTAAGTACAAAGAAACAGGCGTCAGTTCCCAAACAAAAAATAAAACAGGCGTCCAGAAATTCAAATACTCAAAAATATGCTAAGTATACCTCAGCAAGGACCCCTGCAATCCCGTCAAGGTCAAGGGTGCCGACACCCCTGACCGTCTCCCTTTCGGCTGGAGGAACTGCCCTGATCATAGACTTGGCCATCTCTACCAAGTCAGGCTCCTGGGGGCCGGCTGCATCAAGCATAAACAAACGGATTAGACTTAGTAAAAAAGGGAGCAAGTCTAAAATTTACAAGGACAACTTCATACCTCTAGGCGGCCCAGTTGGAGTTTTAGAAGAAGTGGCCGGCTGTTTCTCAGCCGCCACCTGTTTCCTGGCAGAACCAGGAGAGCTCCCAACAGTCGTCTTCCGGGCCTTGGGGTCCGGCTGTTGGGAAGATGAAGCTCTTGGAGCACCCGTCTAAAACAGAAGAAAAAAGTCAGTATATGCATAAACACTCCAAAAAGAGGGTGAAAGGTGCCCCCTTTTTGGGGGAGTCGGTTGAAGCTTGTTGCATAATAGAGGCCCGCAACATGGCCGCCGCAGTCTTGGAGGCGGTGATTTTGCTCATGGCGTCAGCTGCAAAAACAAATAGCAAAGTTAATAAAAGATAAACAACAAATGTATGGAACAACAGAGTATTCGACAGGCCGACTACCTCTTGAGCACCGACTGCTGAGGCCGCAGGCGGCCAAAAAGTACTCGTCATAGAGCCACTTGAAGCTCGGGACGCAGTGCAGGGGTACTTGCTCTCGTACCCCTGAAGTAGAGTCGACCCTCGACTCTACTTTAAAGAGTCCTTTATCAAGGATCTCTTTCTTAGCCTTGGGGGGAACAGGCGGCATGCTACGGCCGCCTGCAAGAAGGGGCGGATTCCTGTTCCACCTATTGAAGCGCTTGTTCAGCTCAATGTCTGAACTCTCAATGATGAGGAAGGTGCTCCGCCAGTCCTTCCACTTGTTTGCTTTACCTCTTGTCATGAGGTAGCCTCTGTGGCTTGTCAATTGATACCAGCCGGTACCGCCTGTCTTAGGGGTCCGGCTGAGATAGTTCATATGGGCGAAAGCCTCGAAGCTCGGCTCCACCCCGTGCAGTTCGCACCCGGCCACATAGCCGAGTACGTTGACCCAGGAGTTTGGGGCTAACTGCCATAACCCCAACTCATACCCATCCAAAATCCGCTGAACAGCCGGATGTAATGGGAAGCGAAGCCCTGCCTTGATGGCCGCCTCGTAGCAGCCAAAGCAGGCGCTATCATAACTGGAACCAGCCGGCCAGACGACTGTGTCTTCTGGATCCGGCACAAACACTAGAAAATCGGGGCCCATGGTGTGGTTTGCAATAAAGCTCTCCACTTTCTCTTGCATGGCTGTGATTCGGCCCCGAGGTACCGTGCAGTAGTAGGGGGTATTTAGCTCTCGGTAAGAGGCGGATGGTTCTGCCCAATTGTCCCCCTTCTCAACTGCGTGAGAAAGTCTCGCCTCTTGCAGGCGGCTGTTTTTCTCTTCTGTACCCAAAGAAGCATGGCCAGAAGAGCTTGACTCGGAATCTTCCTCCGACGAGTCCGAAGAGGACGACTCCTCCCCTCTCCCGGAGGGGCCCGCCTCCTCTCTTTGAAAAGGAGCAGATTTGTTAACTGTTAAATGGGAAGGGGTCACTATGACTCCCCCCACAGAATTGCCGGCATCCAGGCCGCCTTGTTTCACTTCCACATCTGGCGCCTGGTCAGATGTTTCACTAAGCGGCACCCTGTGGGAGGAGCCGTCTGAATTTGAGATCCTAGCTGTCTTTTTCGTTCTGGCCATCCTGCTCTGCATAGACACAGATACAGTCGGACTTTGTATAAAGGGCAAAAATGGGTCCGGAAAAGGGCAGGCGACACTCCTAGTCCTAGATTCAGCCGTCCCCGGTGACCGGCTGATCACTAACCTAGGTCGTGTCGTGTGCTTCCGTGGTGCCATTTCAGAAAATAAAAAGAAAATTAAGAGTAAGAGAACTGAGTTACCTGAACGAGTGACGGTTGATGAAGTTCTGAAAATCCTGTGCAGTCGGCTTGTCAGAACAGGCGGTAGGCAGAAAAGGTCCAAAATGTCAGAGCAAGTTCAGGGGTCCGAATGTTCTCAAAAAGTTCTCAAAGTGTGAAAATGACTCAAGACAACTCTCCCTTATATAGGCGAAGTGGGAAGGCGAAGGGTCACTTTCAGAATTCAAAATTTGGGCGGGAAAATCTCTCGTCCTTTCGCCGACTGACACCTGTAGCAGGCCGTCGCCTGTTACAGTGCGACACCTGTCACAGGTAACACGTGACCAATCACGTGCCACCTGTGAGGGACAAATGATTAGGGGATTTTTCTCCCACCAATCGGAATGCGCCACGTGGACCCATCAGGTCATGCCAAGTGTCCCCCAGTTGGAACTGTCAGGGCTTGCCACGTGGCACGCGCTTATTCGTCCACCTTGGACCTGTTATATCAAGACATGTGGCATACTCCATGCCTAATGGAGAAACCGGCCACCCAGGCCCAACTTCCGAGGGAAGCCCAATCGGCCCTAGGTTTACCTAAACCTAGGATGGGCACGTTTTCCAAGGTTATAAATACCTCCCTTAATCCTCATTAAGGGGGAGAACAGAAACATTACGGAAAAAACACATTAATTACACAGTAATAACCGGCTGATCTCGCTAACAAAGCAGATTACCTACATTAAACACTCTCACCTAGAGAGACCAAATCACTTTAATTTCCGCAATAATTACTCCTTAATCAGGTACTAACTTGACCGTTGGAGGCGGAGCTCCCAGGAGTCTCCGTTATTTTGCAGGTACAGGCGTCCGGTTCCAGTCTCGGAATTGTAACTCTCCCGCAGGACATCAGAAAACCCCGAAACAACATCAATGACATTCCCCTGGGCCATTTGCTTCTTAATATCTGCATACAATCTTGACATTGTAGATCTATGAATGTCATGCTGTCTTGCTTGTTGTAATAAAAAACCCCTTGGCAGATCACCTCCTTGCATTTTTCACAGAATGACATCCACTATTTGCCTTTTCTGTTCAATGGTAAGGTCTTTCCTCTTCTCTCCTTGTTGGGTTGTCTGCTGATTCTGTAAAATCTGAGATCGAGTATGCCCATTCTGCACCGTACTCATCCTCTGAATCTGTACTGGACAGTGATGAGTCACTTGATAAAACTTCTTGTTCTTCTCCTAGCAACTGTTCTAAATGAAAAAAAAATCTTCCATATCCATTTCCATTAACAGATACTACCTTGTTCTGATCCAGGTCAGGTGATGGTGATGAAGTGGAGGGTGCAACTTTTTGGACAACTCAAACGGAACCTGGTTTTTGAAGATTTCAAAACGAAGCCGCTGCCCCTAATTTAGCATTAATTAGATGTTAGGATGTAGGCTGGGTGTATTTATGGTAGTTTTTGAACTTGTTTTAGTGCTAACTTTTGCTGATTTTAATGCTTAGATGTATTCATTAGGTGGTAGTTTAAAATGGTAGTGCAATGAACAAATATGAATTGTTGTTTCTGCTGAATACTACTGCTATTTATACCCTCTCTTGCTTGGGGAAAAAGCAAGAGGAGGGAAATATTTGAAGGAGGAAAACAGAAATTTAAAAATTTGGTGAAAAATTGGGAGGGAAAAGTACCCTCCCAAATTCTGCCCATGTGAAAGTAAAAAAAAAAAGGGTGGTCCCTTATTACTTTCCTCCTTTTTTAAAGATAATCACATGCTCTTAACTCATGATTTATTCCATGATTTATTCCCTAAAATCTTTTGACTTGGGAAATGTGCAACCCCCCTTTGTTGCAAGAAATAAGAAACGGAGGGAGTATTTATAAACTTAAAAATCTAACTATATCTTTGTATAAATAAATTCCTACATAAGTGATTACGTTTTTTTTTCTTTTTTTTAAGAATTAGTGATTACTTTTTAATGTATAATGATAATGATTATTTATATATAGTTAAAAAAAAAATCATAAATATATATTTTTCAACTTATAATAGTTGGTGAATGAAAAATTATCATATTTGGAAAAAAATGTCATTAAGGTTCAAAATAGAAGAAAGCAATATAATATGTATTCAAAAAAGATAAAAAAAATAAATATTTTAAGTAGCTTGATTTGAGATTAAAAAAAAAAAAGATTTTAAATTGATACTCCGTGACAAAGGTTGAAAAACCGTGCATGGAACGGGATCTAACCTAGTAAACCAAAATGTGAGAGTTAAATGTCAATAAAAAAGTTTTACTTGAAGGTCAGGGAAAAAGATTATTTTTCAGTAACTATTATAAATATAAAGAAAATTAATTAAACAAAAGAATCAAAAGCTACGGAATACTGTAAATCCAATTATACCAATATACCTTTTTTTTTTTTTGGTGAAAAAGTACATACCAGTATACCACTATGCCATTAGCAAAAACTTGAAAAAAAAAAGCCAAGATCAAATAACAACATGCTACTTAATAAACTTTGAAACAAGATCTATTTACAATGTACTCCATATTTATAAGCTTATAATTCACTTCATACTTCGCACTCCAAATTAAATAAGAAAAGTTAACTCTAAAGTACGATTGTTAAACGAATGTTTCAACTCTTTCAAGTAGGGACAGTTATTAACTTCGAACACAATGTGAATATTTCTTAAAAGAGCCAAGATCAAATAACAACATTTACAAATCTGTGCAATACGAGGCACCTAGGCAATGCAAGGGCATAACAATTAGTTGTTATATAAAAATTACATCTTTACAACATTGCGAGGGATTAACTGAATAAACTATTTTTATTCAGCCTATAACTTCTCAAACCTGATGGATTTTGAAATAAAAATAATAAATACAACCCTCGTATTTGAATAAATAGATGTCAGTCAAAATCAAAGCAGCATAATAGTTGCCACAGACTAAACTGGCACCAGTAATCAGTAGTAACAATATTACATTTCTTCCTTCTGGAGTCATTTATACATAATCCCTTTCTGCCTCCCCTTTCCTCCTGCACTGGATGTTAGTAGTTTCCTGCATACAAGTCAATACTACCAATTTGTAGCCTTGAGGTCGACTTAACATCTCGGACTGACAGAAAGGTGAACCTGCAAAACTCAGCATTTAATAGATACTCAGTTACTTTTCTGCAAGGGAAGGAGGGGGAAGGGGAAGGGGGGGGGGGGGGTTGAATACCTTATGGCGTTTGATAGTGTATGCCGCGTTCCAACCCTGTACAGTTTGCACTGAAAACGGCTATCAAATGTCTGAGAAGTTTGTCTGTCCAAAACATACCAACTGGATCCTCCATCACTGCTTCCTTCAACAATCCTGAAAAACATTTGCAGAAGTTTGGGACATAAATATTTACAGATACACAAAGCCTATGTTGCACAAAACTGGATTTAGGTGTCGAGTCTGACATGGATTCGGATCCTTTGACACTCTGGATTTTATAGTATTTCACATAAGGCCACTATATATTTGGGTGTCATATCGTGTTGAAGTGTCGGAGGAGACGTACAGCAGAGTGTCAGAGTAACATAGCCATAAGATCTAATAAACAGAAGCTAGGAACAGCATTAGAATCCAAAGTTCATTTCCATGAACTTTCCTTTATCAATGCTTTTCAATAGGCTTAGAAAGAATTATCATGTACTTCATAGTCACTTTTGGGAATGTGTTTTTAATATAAAGCACTTTAGAGAGATAATTAATGATAACCAAGGGTAGTACCCACAAATGTTGCATTGCTATAATAATCTATACTAATGTTGTGTTGAACAAATGTTGCATCTCAAATCCATTGAAGTCCATAAGATTGCATCGGACCAGTTTGTATCTATACATGCACCACCCTGATGGACCCATGATTTACTCTGGTTACCAATAGACAAGTGCTCGCGCTGTAATGTGCACTCAAGTGCCAACTTATAGGCAAGACTGCAAGATCGTGTGTGATGACCATAACAACTAATATCAGAGTTGAGTTCAAATCTAGGCATCAAGAGATCTGTGTAAGCATCCGAGTGACAGCTAAACCAGATGACAATCATCCAAACAAACTTGCGTGGCTATTAGGCAAGTCCAAAGAAGGAAACCAACTTGAAGAGAAAGTGATTGGGCTATCCAAAACAGCTTGAACTCAACTACGATCAGCGATTTATGCAGTGCATGCGCGCAAAGAACTTAACTTTGTACAAGGGTTAGTTGATGAGATACCTGATAAGTACACCACCCTAATGCATGACAACAAACCTAAAGGGTGTTGCAAAAGGAGAATTAAACCAGCTAAACCTCAAATGTTCGGGTGGCACAAGAGACTTTATAGAAGCCGACATCTCATCTTCAACATGAAGTACTTTTTGGTCTATATAGCAGTTCATTGTTCAACATAAGGGATATTCTTTCACAGGGATATCAAGGGAACAGTAATAAATAATTCAAAAACAAGCACCACAAGAAACACAGAAAATGACACTTAAGTTCAAACAATGACGAAAATAGGTACCAAAGCAAGGGAGAAAACTTGTGAAAGAGTGGGGTTTTGTCTCCTTCCAGCAAAAGAGGCCCCTCTCCCCACAAGACCTTCATGTGTATACTATGTCACAGGCCATAATAGCGATTTGCGTGTTGCCAGAAGGAAAAAATCAACTATGGCCAAAGGAAGTCCACTGTGTCTATGAATTCTGTCAAGATGACACAAATCATCAAAGTTCAAGGCGCAGTTTATTTGTTCTCATAAGAAAAGAGATGCCAAACTAATCACTCAGCTATACAACTGGAGAAAGGGCTCAGTTTACTTGTTCTCATAAGAAAAGATGAATGAGCCCATGTTCCTTATAGTCATATTGGTGAATGAGGATAAAGCACTTGGTAACTTGTTCAGCTACTAAATATACTCCAATCAATAAGGGCTATCAACCATACCCCTCTGAAGTTCCTATGGTACACTCATGATATCCAAGGGAAAAACTCTCCTATTGTGCAATAATAATTACTGAAACAAGGTACAGCGCAAAACCATTTCCATTTCCTGTGATGGTATTGACTAATTGGGGGGCAGTGTACTTCACCAACTTAAAATTGAGATAATCAATACCTCTCAGAGGAATGAGCTGAAACAGCTTGTGTCACAAATTGTGGAGCACTCGAATGAATTGCCTTGTTGTTCAACCTAACCAATGCATCTTCCATGTGATGAAAGTATGAAACAAGTCTTTTATGGAATACCGGCATACCGCAACAAGTTTTTAATTGTGTACTTGGATGAAATTATGATCTTTAGCAGGGTGCTGGAAGACCATATTGAACAGAAGGAAGGTAATTGAGAAATTTAGGGAACACCCAGTCCTTGAAGTGAAAGAACTGTGTCATCTCGTGAGAGGAGGCCGATAAGGATAAATACGAAAAGCACACAAACTATACATAATAGGCAAGGTCCAAAGAACATTTTTGAACTAAGGTCATTTTTATGTTATCTAACTACTATTGGTTGTTCATAAAATGTAAGAAGGGACTCACTTGGAGGGGGAGATAAGAGAAATCCCTCAATGAGTCTCATGAGGTTTGATCCCTAGACCTTAGGGATATGAGTTAAGGAGCCATTCCACTACTCCACCACCTCAACCTCAATGGTTCATACGGAGATATTCTAGAGAGATCACTGAACACACTAGCTTAGCTCTTTTGTTCTTTCATTCTAAAGATCAAGTAATTTGTTCTCTGCTCCATAGTTGTTACTCGTTCAAAAGCTGGTACTTAATTTACATAACAATATTTCACGTATATTATTGTAAACTATTTGCACCACAGGATTTTGTTTTGTGGGGAAGGGGGGGAACGTGTAGTAGTGTTATGTACTGATCATACCAATTCATTGGATCTCTCTCTGGAGCATCATTAGCAGACATCAGCTCATACGCCACAACCTCACACATCTGCTCCTCTTTCAGTTTGTATGCAATCCAACCACCTGCAATACCAAAATTCAAAAGGTAATGTAAGGATAGATCACATATGAAAATATAATATTATGAGATCGCATAAAAACAAACATTGGATAGCACAAAGCCCAAATCTCAAAAAGATTGGCTAACATGAATCGTCACAAGGAACTGTCCACAAAAAAGGGAACAAAGAAAGAGTAGTGATAAAATGAAAGTAGACAAAATTAAAAGAGAATAAATTTCAGTGACTGTAAGGGAAAAAAAAACCTCTTGCTCCATTTGGTTCTTCCCATTTTGACGACTGTAACCCATCAAAAGCTGATGTAGCCTGAAAATACAGTTTATATATAAATCGATGAAAAATCTTAAGAGATATGAACCTCTCACCACACATATGTAGAGCAGAAAACACAAATATTCCACCAGTTGACTTACAATTCCAAAAGGAAGCTCTTCTCCACTTGCAAGGACTGAACCTGAATGTATTCTATTCAACCTCAGAAGCGGCAAAGAGAGACAATCTTTTGAAATGCTGGGACATTTAGCAAGGCTCACAATCATATCATCCAGAGCATCTAGTGCAACCGGCAAAGCTAAGGAGGTCTTTATAGGATGGCCAACCATATGCACAAGCACCTCATTTTTAGTGTCGAGCTCAAACTTCAGATAGAGGGTGTTCATTAGCTTGCCAAAAGCAGGCAATAAATGGTGCAAAGAAGGTTGTAGACCATGTGAAGTGTTTATTATCTTTCTAGATCTAAAAGGACACTTCTGACAATCTGTCAAGATCCTTCTTAGGGTCTTTAGGGCATCAACCCCACTGGAGACTGAAAGAGAGCTATCCGCAAACTGGGAAATGACAACTCCCAATGAATTATAAATATCAGAAACATGCTCATCGACACACAAACGAACAGGACAAGTAGTGCAACTCAAGCCATCCTTTCCAGATTCATATTCTGATCTTGAGATGCGCCATTGCTTGTCCCCACTTAGTCTCCCAGGTAGTGAAACAGCAGCATCACCCTTCGAATGAAGATCTCTTTCAATAGCTTCTTTCTCAATTTTGTAACGTTCTTCAAGCAAAGATATCTCTTCTGGTTTTAAACCCTTTCGGCATTGTTTTGTTAGTTTTTCCAGATCATTGCATAAATTTTGCTCTGTTGTAATATTCCGGCGGGTTAGAACCTGAAAGATATAGAAGGGGGATGGCAGCATAAGTTATGACAGAACAATACAAGATCCAAGAACAATAATCAGTGTTGGCACCCAATATAGTATTTTACTTCAAATTACCTCATGCCACTTTCTTGTGTAACGTTTTGTGACATCATATACCCCATCTTTTGCAATAGCAATCACATAATTTAATTTTTTATTCCACCTATGCAATATAGGTGCTAAATTACATTAGTTATTGAACAAAGAAAGCATTAGAATTCAAATTTAGGTTCATGTGAGAACCAAGGCTATGGTGAGAACCACTGAAACACATAGGACACATGTCATATACTCATAGAATTATATGGTACATTAGACATGTTTTTGAATTTTTCATATGAGAAAAACTACTTTACGAGTGAAAAAAATCAATTTTAAAATATATGAGAATAATGTAATGTACCTTATAGCTCTATGATACGTATTATATATTGGATATAGTGGTAAGACATGCACCTTAAATTTTTTTTTTTGTAAAAAAATTCAGTTTTAAAACTTGGGATATGTACCTTATAAGAGATGTACCTTGCAACTCTATGACATATACCCATGTGGTTCTCACAGTTCAAATACTATATACACACACAGACATGAGGAAGAAAATGGGAGTACCCTTTTTCATACAACAATGGGTTGTCATAAATTCCTTCACAAGGATCAAGATGCATCCACCTGAGTATAAGAAGATACAAGTCCACCCAAGTGATCAGTCTTCGAACAGCTATGGAAAAGCACAAAGGAAATAGGGAAAAAACAGAAGGTAGGTTTCATACAATTTATTCATGAATAATTTAACCAAATGCCTACAGATTACCATGTCCAAGAATACAACCTTCCTAAATTTAGAACAGTATGTACTTTTGATGGATGGTAATTATGCAGTCAAAGTATCAAACTGTTTCCTTAATCGTTTTTAATTTTTTTGTCAAGACTAAGAAAAGTTCAGCGACAAACAATGCCGTTTGAGGAATCTAGCTCCCTTTTAACATAAATAAGGATGAAGCATTAGCTTTTAAAAATGACATGAGACAAACTTAAAGGGGATGTCCATAGAGGTACTGAAATTATTGTTTGAAATTTATAAAATAAAAAAATAAAATGCTGAGGGCAGTAGTCATGATTATAAAAAGCCAGAGGCAACTGCATAATTTTTTTTTCCAAACTTCATCTTTGGTTTCCCCAAAATGAACCACAAACATCAAAAATGCATATCTGTACATAAAAGCGGGACAAATAGTTATCTTACCTCCCTAAATGATGTGAAAAACACTCTGTCCATACATGATCCGTGAAATCCAAAACCTGCAATAGCAAAATTTTAAGCTGACAATTCTCTCCAAAAAAATACCTAAAAGACAAAAATGCCATCTCCAAGACAATTTCTTTAAAGTACACGTCTTTCGATACAGAGCTACTAAATGCTGCAAATCAATTAGCCGATCTAAATGACTACCGGCAAGGTAATATTCAATATGAGCACAAGTTGTAGTGATTGAAAGAGAAGGATGAAAGTACATATGAAACACAACTGCCACTCCACCAGAAATGATAATAGTTTGTAATGTCTTGCTACTTTTTTCCCCCTATTTTTTTTTATCTGTGTTCTGAGGCCTGAGGGTTAGCTGAAGTAACCTTAAGCACTAGTTGAGTCGTTGACATAGAAAAACCATCCTATGATCAATGCTAAGGTTGCAAGTCTAAAAGTGATAGGTCTTGAGTTGGATAGTTGAGATACAAGTTAAGACAAAACAAAGTGATAGTGATTAAGGGCAATATCCGTTTTGTTAATTTCTACAACTGATATACTGTTCAAGCTCTGTGGACGTGTCCATCCCACTATCCCAGAGAGGCAAGTGCATCCATGCAGAATGCCCAGCATTTTTTTGAAGGCTTTTTGTCATGATTGTGATTTCCTTTCTATGGTATTTTAGAACTCTAGTCTCTCCTTTCCATAAATGTTTACTGTTAATGATAAAACAATGAAATCATAGATAATGTAATATTCTAGAATCAATAACAGTCAACTTACTGAAGGTAAGAACTAATATTCTTCCATTGCCTTATGGGAGATTAGAAACATTATAAGGGAGCTTTGAAAGTCTTTGTCAGAGAAGGGTTTTGCAATGCCCAATCTAGGGTGATTTGTGAGGTGTGTAACTACTAATATTTGTCAAATAGATTAGTACACATGGTGTGATTTTCACCTACTTAATATGTTCAGGCTTTCTACGTATTGTTAGTGTTTGCAATTGTCTTGTAATTTTTTACTTTAGATCTCTTTCATTTTTTATTTTTTATTTTTAATTTGTTTGTAACATTCAAGACATCACAGTAAAAACATCTTTGAAACAATTGATGCCATTCACTCAATTAGGCAAGCACGACATTGTCTTGTGATGATATACAGAATATTGAGGTTAATAACTAGTCTTAACAACCAAATATATAGCAAGACTTTCATTCAAACTAAGAATTGAATGACAGTTGACAGTTTGACACCAATAAGTAACTCTCTGATTGCTTGGTTGGCCGTGCACAACAGGCTAAGAACTAGGCAGATACTTCTGAGATGTGTTGTTTGAAAGGATGCTAGCTACCTTTTATGTCATGAACAGGCTGAGTCTGAAACACACCAGTTTTTCAGATGTCCTTAGTAGCAGTTCCCTGAAGTTGTTGCAATGGCTGGGGAAGAATGCAGATCAGCATTTTGATCTGAACATTGTTTGGAGGAAGTGATGCAGGATGTTTAGAGATGCTAGGCAAAGGAAAAAGGGGTTTGCAGCGTTTGAAGCTCACTTATCATATTTGGCATGCTAGAAACCATGCATGATGGCAGAAAGCTTTGATCTTGAGGGTTAAACAGAAGATTTATTGGAGAATTCAGCAAGTTGTTGATGACAAATGGAGTACTTGATCTTGTGATTGGCTGTATACTGTATAGAATTTTGTGTAGTTTGTTGTGTGTTTGGTTGATGCTGTTTGTTTGTACATAGGGGAGTCTTTATACATGTACATTTCTCGCATGATTGATATATATCTTACTCACCCAAAAAAAAACGTGGGTAAAAATTGGTTTTGTTTGCATTATGCTTCATCATAATAATTGAAATCTGGCACACTGAGCTAGGAGCCACAACTCTATAGTTATGACTTATGAGAAGCTTGCAACATAAGTTTAATTGTAGCAAATGATATACAGAAAAAGGAAAGAGAAGAAAAGGCAAAAACATTTCAATATAATGTTAGCTTTGGGAAGGTAATAATTGCAAGAACCTTGATAATCAGCAAGGCAAAATGAAAGAGGAAAGACAGTTGATAGAGACACTCACAGGACGTGACTCATAGCCAAATGCTCTGCAATACAGAGTAAAGCAGTTAGCCCACTCCCCACAACGCCCTTTTTTAGTTTCTAGGATCTGCATGGACAAACGATACAAATAGAACAAACAGAAGCTAAGCACAAGCAAATAAGACCACATAAATAAGAAGTAATAAAAAAAAAAGTACCTTTATTGGGTCATTATAGCGTGGGAAACGAGTAATCCTCGAGCAGAAGCTGCAGCTGTAGGTTGACAGCAAAAGTCCGTGAGTATTTAGAGCACTAAATAAGAAACTATTAAAATATAATCACTAGAATAAAAAAAAAATTACAATTTATTACAAAATTAATTCTTAAGCCACATAATACATAAATATACTTTTTGGGAGAGCCATATAAGCAATTATCAAAATCTAGCATATGAAGTCGGAGATTTGTAAGAAAATTCTAGCACCACACGAGTAGAAGTAAATAGTTTGCTTTTGGATAAAAATATTCCAATCCAACTATCCAACCATAACTCAATAATTTTTAATAATTCAATCAGCCAATAACAAGACAATTTTTTCGACATTGATAATTACTCATACAACAATCAAAATATTAATCCCAAAAATGAGGTCAGGTACATGGACCATGCAAAATGGCCAACCATGATCCTGTCCTAGTCTCCTTCCATGCTCCTGCAAATCCAACTTCATTTCCTTTTGAACTCCTTTCATCCAAGTCATCTTTGGTCATCCTTTGCTTCTTTTAAGATCTCGACAATCCCAAACTCCTAATCCTCTACATTATTTACCAGTGCGTCTTTTCAATCTCCATCTAACATGCCCAAACCAACACAAACGGTTCTCCCTTATTGCATCAACTCCAATCTTCCTTCTAATATCTTCATTTTTAACTTCTAATTTTGCCCTTTAAGGTGTTCTCACATATCCATATCAACACACGCATCATTGCTACCCCCATCTTCCCAAAATGATCCTTTAGCTTAGACCCATATGACAACGTTGGTCTAATAGCCATCCAATATAATTTTCCCTTTAAGTTGAAAGGTATGCTCTAGTCATACAATAGCTCAGTGCTCTCCATTAGACGATTAAAGCCAACTTGACTTCATCTTGTGGGTAACATCTTGGTCAATTCTTCTGCAAATTGAATTGACCCAAGGTAATTATACACTCGCTAATCGGAACTTTTTTATCGTCCAACATTACTATATCCCCACTTGAATTCCTGGGAGTGATAAAACTAGATTCCATGTACTCGCACCAGCTTGGTCTAAATCCCTCGAGATATTAAAATTTGCATCCCCCTAACTCCACTCTCATCCACCAATACAATATGGATATTATATCATGATCTATTAGTTTGGCATCATACCCCCAAACAATATCATTATACCCAATGCTAAGTTACAGAATTCAAATCATCCAAATTGCTAATATTCAAGCACATCATATCCTTAGCAGATCCTAATTAATATTTCTATATCCTGTAAAAGTTCTAATCCCAAAAACTACTTATCTATTACTTATATGTTATATGTTCTTCAACATCATATCAAATCCTAATTATATTCCATATGATTGAACAAAAACTACCTCCATCAACAAAGGTGGTCGAAGGAAGATATTTCCATAGACAAATTAATGCATCCGATATGAGGATCTTACTAATCTTACATTTAACCATATCTTGCCCACAATGACAAACATTTCATTTGGAGATGTCCCAAAAAACTTCATACTTTCCCCTTTTCTTTTTTTTTTTTTTTTTTTTTTTTTTTTTTTTTTTTTTTTTTGTTTCCTCTCCTCCTATTCTGTTGATCCTTTTAATTTTCTTTTCAAAAATAAATTCCTACTCTTTTTTTTTTTTTTTTCTCTTCCCACTTCCAAATTTTTTATTTTACATTAGACAAATATGTTTTAAATTTTTTAAAAATTACCATACCAATCTCATGTGTGAATTTTTTTTTGGGAATGCCATAATTAACATCATCATCTAAGATATTGACATTTGAAACTTATATATGTACTAATATAACATCAAATCAGGGCTTCACTTTGCCTATCTAGAATTCGACATAAAGATGGATTTCAGTTTTAAGTTTGATAAAAGTTAAAAGTAGTGACTAACGAGTGTAAAGCAACATTAATATAATAAATGGAAAGATTCATAAGGCTTACGCAACTAGGATCAACAATATAATATCAAAAGGATTAAACCACACATATGGCAGTATAGCTATGGGACAAAAGAATCCATCAAAACACCAGAATTGGAAACACAGCTATAGATATAAATTTTCTTTCATACCGATATAGCTCAACTCGTGAACCTCCATATTTCATTTCTGCAGGCGATGGTACACCCATGCCCTGGCCTATAGTTTGATTCCCACAGCTATCACAAGGAGGAGCATTAACCCAACTGCAGAAGGCAATAAGCCATTTAAAACACACATGGTTGAAAATAACAATATGAATTTGGACATGCCATTAGAGTGAATGAGCACACATTGGATAGTACAAGAATCAAGTATATGAGTCATCCCTAAGAATCCTAGATTCTTTCAGAAACAAAGTGCCACCTATTACTAACATGGTCAATTTGCCATAGTCTCAATATGAACATAGAAATTTAATTGTGTCATTTAAGTGTATTGCACTCCATAAGCTATGGCTAATGAATTAATATGCTTCAATAAGAAACATCGCAAGGGAGTTGTCTTCATGAATTTAACCATTCATCATATTAATTTCCATGCCTTGGGAAAGCAATAATCCCCACATACAAAGAATCATGTTTAGCATATATCTAACTAATGTCAAGAGAGGAAAAAAAATGCCCAGATACCCAAGTAATCGATTGTTAATCACTAGTTATAGTCATAATTCCTTTCGTCCCCTTAGTTTATTCATTGAGCTTTTGTTACATTTTAAGTTTTTGGTTGGGTGAAGTTGATAAGAAACAAAATAAGTAGGATCAAATATAGTGTATTTAAGAGAAAAGTTGTAGTCCCTCTAATTCATTTATCGTATTGGGCAAACTCAAAGAGAAAATTTATAAAGGAAATTAAGGAAAATAAAAGAGGACGATGGGAGTAATAACTTTGTAATGTTAGTCTTCCCTTTGTTTCAGAGAGATCATTCTCCTTTCCATTTAGTGATATTATAAGTTGATAGTCAAAGAGAAATAATTCTTTATGCTTTAGAGATCCCTTATATGCTTTAAGATTTTAATACCAATTAGAATATACAAACTATGGAAAAACCAATGGCTCCATTTATAAATCTAGGGATTTCAATTTAAATCTTATATCTGGAAGATATTGATAATGTTAATTGGAATTTTGAATTTAGTCCAAAATAGGAGTTTGACCCTTATCCTATTTCGGGTGGAGACAACAGACTGAACAAAGTATACGGAGTATCATATCATTACGACCTAGTATACTAGCAACATTGCAGGAGTGATGTGATAGCCAAGTCCAAGCATCACAGTTTGACAAATGATAATTGATTTAATATTTACAATAGTAAGTTACAACAATAAAGCGAATTTCATAGTAGCCTTGAATTTAAGTAATGTTCAAAAATTAACCACCAAGATTTTGTATGATCAAAGGTAACCTAAGTGAAGGTTTGTTTTAAACCTACTATAACAGTAATGTTTGATTTTTTTTTTTTTTTTTGGTCTCATGGTCTGGCATGTCTGATTTTAGCAAGAATAAGATGCAGAAAACAAAGCTTAAGTCAAAGCTTTTGGTGGAAAATAGCTAACATTGTTACATTACGTAACCTTGAAAGTTATACAATTAGTTTGAAAGTTTGAATTTAAAACAAGAGTCTAAACATTAAAGCTTAAGGGGAACAGAACTAACATTGTTACATTACGTAACCTTGAAAGGTTATATAATTAATTCAAATTTAGAACAAGAGCCTAAACAATACCATGAATATTCTCAAACCAGAATACTTCTTCTTTTTTTTTTTTTTTTTTTTTTTTCCGATAAGGGTCAGACCTCAGGTTTACCATAAATAGGTTCCCAATAGTAATACCTAATTCCTTTGTAATTCTGGTTAGCCCCCCCTAGATGTTAAACATTAACTTTACCACTAAGTAGAAGAAACTCAACAATAGGAGAGCCTTTGAGTGTGAGGACTTCACTCATGTAACATGTCAAATAAGCATCAAACCTAATCAAAATAACTAAGATTTTAAGAAAGTCTCTCAGCTAGAATGAAGAAAAGATGAAATAAAATATATAGCTAGAATACCTGAATGATTGTTTGAACCAAATCAACAACTCCAGCAAGAAAGCATGATCCCGTTCATCTTTTGTTGGTTCAAAGTTCCCCTCCTAGAAAGCAAAGAGATAACCTTAAAATTTTTGAATATGTTCATAGAAAGTTTATAGCTCACAAGTATACAGTTAAAGCATCTAAAGTACTTTAGCCCACAATACACAACTAGAGGTTCATTAAAAGTCATAGCAAGAAAAGCAAAACAATGATTAATGGACAAGATGACTTCTAATCCTGTTTTGTAATCCTATGGACAGCAATGGCTAGAAATCCAGCCACTTCCATCTCATGTGATGCAATCACCCTTGCTGGTACAGTGTTATTCAATGAAAAGTAAGGAGATCTAGAGTATAAACCTATAAGACATGTATAAAATGCAGATATGTGACACTCAAGGATGAAATATAGCCATGCTTAATTTATGACTTTACAAACAGATATTCAGCCCCTGCCCTTAAATGAAAAATAGCTACTCTTATACTAGACCTATAGGTACAACCGTTCAACACAGATAAGAAAATTTTTATAAGCCAAAAAAAAAAAAAAAATTGCTTGCTGGTGAAAACTAAATGACCTTAACAAGATATTTTCATAGGAATTAGTATAATAGGTAATTAAACTACCGAATCAAGAGTTAAACTTTTTACAAGCAAAATTGATTTGCCCACATATGAAGTGACGACTGAACACAACGTAAACATCAAATTCATCTTTCATAATCTAGCAACATAACATTGAATGAAAATGATTAGTAACCCAACCTTTTTCGCTATGGCCACCAATGATTTCTCCTCCAACTCATCAACGGGTACTGTCTTACGAGCAGCTTCCTGGCGAGTTGGGTCCTCATACTACAATGTTACAAAAAAAGACGGTTAGCAGTAGCAAGTAACACTCTTGATTAACCAAAGAATCTAGACTGAATAAAAAAAAAATTAAAATGACAATTCGTAATCACCATAAAAACTTTATCAATATAACCCCGGAGTTGTTCTTCTATTTGTCCATTGTCTTCAGGAGCAACATACTGTTGAAAAAGCAATGCTTCCTCCTCAGCCTTAAAAAATTGTAACATTTATCAGTAATACGAAAATTTCACCGGAAAATCACAGTACAAAAACATTAATAATATAGAGAAATCTTGGATTTTACGAGGCGAAAATATATGTTTTAATACAGTTAATCATCATAATTTTCTTGATAAAGTTTGCAATTAGAAATAACTAGAACAATTTTCCACAAATTCGACAGCTCAGTAGATCAATGCTAGAATTTTAATTCAATCATTTCGAAAAAGAAAGGCGAAATCAAAGTAAAACAAAAGGCAATTACCTGAAGCAATCGAGCAAATTCTTCATCAGACTTGAGCAATTCTTCATTAACATGAGAATCACCAGTTGCCGACGATTCAGCTACAACATCTTCTTCAATTGAAATCAAACGAACCTTTTCTTCAATTGAATTTAGGTCAGAATCATCACAAATGATCTTAATATCATGATGATCATCATCACAAACGATCTGTAACATTAAAGCAAAAAAATGAAAAAATTGATCGACAAAATATTCCAATTTCAAAGTGAATCAAACAAAATTAGAGATTAATTCACCTTCTGTTCATCTGGAGGAATTGAAGTGAGAGAAAATAGTTGAAATTTGAACACCTGCAAATTGAAAAATCAAAAGATTGTTGATTCAAACACAACATTTTACAGCAGAAAATGCAATTGGAGAGAAAGGTTGAAGAAAGAGATTGGTAGAGAGAGTACTTCGAGGCCATCATCGGTGTCGTAATCGATGTCGAAGGTTGAGTTTTCATGGCGGACGAGAAGCTTCCGAGCTACCATTTCCGATCCCTTGCTTTTTGTTTTGTTAATACCAGTACTAGTTCTTTTCCTCCGACGAAGTTTGAAACTTTGGAGAAAGCCGTATACTTCTTCAAAGAGCATCTTTAAGGGTAAACATTTTAATAGTTCACAATGAGTCAACAAATAAAGTGGTGGCTTAATGGCAAACTCTTTAATTGTTCATGTTGAGTGGTCATGGATTCGATTGCAGGAGCAAGCACTTGCAAGAATTAATTCACTGTGGGCCCCACCAATATTTTGGACTGATATTCATGCAAAACGACGTCGTTGTACTGTTTTAAATATATCCGTTGTAATTTTACAACGGATCAAAAAAAAAAATTACCAACGACTCTATTTTTTTTCCCTCTATAAATAGACACCCATATTGATATACTTTTTTCAACTTTGAAAATTCATTTTTTTCTACTATATTTTTCTCTTCAAAAATCCCCTCTATAATTACCAATATTATTATTATTTATAACAATATTAATATTATTATTGTTATTATTATTTTTAATTATTATCATTAATATTATTATTATCGTTACTATTATTTTTATTATTATCGTTATTATTATTATTATTATTATTTTTATTATTATCGTTATTATTATTATTATTATTATTATCGTTATTATTATTATTATTATTATCGTTATTATTATTATTATTATCGTTATTATTATTTTTATTATTATTGTTATTATTATTATTATTATAATTAAATTTTTATTTTTTCCAAATATAAATTATAATCATGGATGCTAATACCAACCCCAAAACAAATAGAAAGAAGAAAAAAAATTTGGGTCAAAATATGATCCCGAATCAAGCCAATTTTCCTCCAATTCACCCAAATTTTTCACAAACACCCACAAATATTCCCCATAATTTTTCTGGAGTTTATCCTTAAATACCCCAGTCAAGTTTCCCAAATAATCCACCAAATTTCCCTCAAAATTTTAATTTTTCTCAAAGCAGTTCAAATTTCCCACATCCATCCATGATACCAATGGGTTACGGTGAATATGGTGCTGCATCTGGTTATTTTCCGTCACAACAACCGAATCCCAATATTTGGGAATCGAGCAATGTCTTATCTGAAGAAGATGAGGCAAATGAAGAATGCGAGGATGATGGTGAGGGAAATGAAAATCCTTCTCCCCATAAAAACTTCACTCAAATGTTACAGCAACCACTCCAATCAACTCCGGAATTTCGTGTTAGTGGTTCAAACAATAGAGGTTGGTCGCGATCAGAAACTGCGGCTCTTATATCCGGCTACATGAACACCAGCACCGACATAATTACCGGCACAAATCAAAAGAAGGGTGTATTTTGGAAGAGAGTCTTGGACGCATACGATGCTGCCAGGGAATCGAATGCAGATGAAATATCCCTACGAACTATTAGTAGTTTGAAGGGAAGGTGGATGCGAATCTCTGAAGCCGTGTTAAAGTGGTGCGGAAGCTATGATAAGGCCCGGAAGCGAAAGGGAAGTGGCTATAACGAAGATGATGTTATCCAAGAGGCCCACAAAATCCATGAGAACTCATTCGGACGATTCACCTTCTACGAGGAATGGATCCAATTAAGGAAGTGGGACAAATTCCGGTCTTTCTTGGACCAACAAACATTCAAGCCTTCGGTGGGACGTCCACATTCAACTCCACTAACGGATGAGTCTGTAGGGAGCGGAAGTAGTGGGAAGAGGACACGGGATGAGGGTGACAATTCCTCACCTACCACACCAACCAGTGTGGGTGTCGGTGATGAGAGAGTAGCTCGTGCTGAAGGTATTAAAAAGGCTAAGTCGAGATTGAAGGGTAAAGCTCCATCAAGTCAAGAATTTAAGGAATTAGAAACATTCAACAGCCGATTGCAGCTACTTGGGGATTCGATGAATGTGTCAAACGAAGCAGAAATGAAGAGACTTGAAATACAGGAGCGCAAGGAGGCAAGGAAACAACAGAAAATTGAGCTAGAGCAATATAGGATCAACTGGGAGCAACTATCTCGTCTAGAACAGAAAGTAAACCGAGAACAGTGGGAAGACGAAATGATAGTAATACTTCGGAACAATATTCAACGTTTCAATAATGATGCTTAGTGTCCTTTATTTTTATTGTAGTTAAGTGTGTTCAATTCCTTTGTTGTTCTTCATTTTCAGTAGTGATAAGTTTTCAATTCCAGTTCAACCTCTTGTACTCATTTCCTTATGTTTGTACTTTATCAATTAATCAGTAAAATGGATCTTTTCCACTTTCCCATTTTCATAGCCCATGTGATCTTATTCTGTTTATTCAATTATATCAATTTGTCTCTTTATATATAATTGTGTCAGTATCTTAATTTCCCCTTTGTTAGCCCATGTGAAACCCTTCTTCTCCATTCAATTTCTGTGTGGTTCTAATCCAGTGTTGGTCATAGCCCATGTGAAACCCTTCTTCTCCATTCAATTTCTGTGTGGTTGTAATTCATTGTTTGTCATAGCCCATGTGATCTTTGTCTCTTTATATTCAGTTATTTCTGAAGAAGAATTACAAATTAGTTCACTATAAATAAACACCATTCTTTCATTTTTTTTACACACAAACACATAAATCGTTTGCAGTTACTATTAGCAAACCTCACTCTCTTACATTTCTTACGTACAAAATGAATTCAAACAGTTTAAACGAAAGCTCAACCGATTCCTCTTCATCTTCATCTAACTCGGATGATGAGGGAAGGGAGCTTAGAGTTCAACAACGTAATGAAGTGTGTCTTATGATACAACACGTAATGCATGAGTACATTCCACCAATTATTCAAGCTGCCACTCAGCAACGCCGACGCAAATCTACTGAGCCCCGAAAGGATAGGGGACGCGAAGAAGGTCATGCACGGTTATACAATGACTATTTCGCGGAAGTCCCAGTTTATCCAAGTTCCTTGTTCCGGCGCCGGTTTCGAATGCGTAAACATGTGTTTGAGCGCCTTCTCAACGCAGTGACCCAACATGACCCCTGGTTTCAACAAAGGCGAGATGCGGCAGGTCGTCTTGGTTTGTCTCCACTTCAAAAGTGCACTGCGGCCGTTAGACAACTAGCTTACGGGTGTGCTTCAGACGCTTGTGATGAGTATGTCCGTATAAGTGAGGCAACTTCACGATTGGCACTCCAAAAGTTCACAGAAGGTGTCATCAACCTGTTCGGTGATCAGTACCTACGCCGTCCAAACATCGCAGATATGGAAAGATTGCTACGTATTGGGGAAGAACGTGGATTTCCTGGCATGATAGGCAGCATTGATTGTATGCACTGGGAGTGGAAGAACTGTCCACACGCATGGAAGGGGCAGTATCAAGGAAGAGAAGGAGTTGCAACTCTCGTACTGGAGGCAGTTGCAGACAGAGATCTATGGATATGACATTCGTTCTTTGGGATGCCAGGTAGCTGCAACGATATTAATGTGCTTCATCGATCCCCTGTGTTCGAAGACGTCTTAGAGGGTCGAACACCTCCTGTGAACTTCGTAGTCAATGGTCATCATTATACGAATGGGTATTATCTTACTGATGGAATCTACCCTAGATGGGCTTCTTTTGTGAAATCCATTACGAGTCCACAAACTCGTCAGGATCGTTTATTCGCAAAACACCAGGAAGCTGCAAGGAAAGACGTTGAACGCGCATTTGGGGTCCTTCAAGCTCGTTTTGCCATTATTAAAAAGCCGTCTTTGGCGTGGGATACCGACATACTCCACAATATCATGCTCGCCTGCATCATAATACATAATATGATCGTTGAAGATGAACGAGAGACGTATCAAAATAACGTTAATACCAATGAGTTTATGAATGCTGGAGGCAACGCTAATGAGGACACTACCGAGTACCGTACTGATCGTATTGTGGATATCGGCTTATACTTGTCTCGTAGAACAGAGATTGAGGATCAACAGACTCATTTGCAGCTAAAAAACGACTTGGTCGAACATATATGGAATAAATTTGGTAACAACGAAAACTTAGGCAACTAGGTTTACAACAAATGGTTATCCCTAAGGACATCTTACAAAACGATGTGTAGTTGTTTTTTTTAAATAAAATGTACTAGATTATAGTTGTAGAACTGTAATCACGATTTGTACCTCTTTTTTTTTTTGTTAATTAAAATTAGCTGCGTTGTTGTTTAAAAAATATTAATCACAAGAATTAGTTTTTTAAAAAGCTGATAAAAAAATGCGATAATTTCTTAATTAGTAATCACGATTAAAATATTAAATACGTCAATTAATTACATTGACATCGGGTTAATAAATTATAATTATGAAACAAAAAAGATTATATTTACAAAAATAAAATAAGGTGGGGTAGGGAGTATTGATGATGAACCATTGTTTAGTGTTCATTGTTAAGAGTGAATATTGTAAATGGTTTGTTGGGTTGATGTGGATGAGAGAGAAATGGTGATAGTGACCCATGAACCATTTTTTTGTGTTCACCAATAATGATGCTCTAAGTTTTTAAAAAGAACTCACTTTAATAGCTAGGTAATGCCCGCATTTTGACTTGACTTGTTGAACGTGCCCCTTATAAAATGTAGGATACCTCACTTTACTCTCACTTTCACATTCACTATCCACATTTCTTACCGCAAAGCACCGCCACCACCAATGACCACCCACGGTAACGAGCAACCACCACGTCATGAAAAAAATACTAGCTTAAATGTTTCACATTACTCTTCACAACTAATTTACTAACCCCAATTAGCCGCAAAAACTATGGATGACTACAAGGGATGAAGGGACCATCGATGCCACTAGTTATATCACCATAGCATACGGAGTTGGTGATGGAAAAGGGAAATTTAAAAAATACAACTCATTTCGTAATAGCTGCAACACTTTGACTTACACATATGTCAATGCACAACTTTGACCATAACTATTTATATAATTACATATTATAAAGAAATATAAAAGGTTAATTTTTCTTTTTTTGAAAAAAAAAATGATTCATAAATAAAGTCATATGAAATCTACAAAGAGATTTAAATCTAATAAATACAAAGTACATGACAATTGAATAAAATAAACACATTTTCTCAAAATGATCGTTGTTGCAAATCGTATATTTTTCATACCCTCTTTCATATTGTTGTGATTTCTAGTCTTTTTCGACAAGGGGGTCTATCAATCTATTGTAGTCATGAAGAAAATTTTCATCTGATTCATTTGATTGTTATTGAAGCTAAGGATTAACCTCTTTTCAATCCAACACAAATCTATTTATTTACAAAAATGTCATTTTGAGATACAAAAACTCTATTTGAGATACTGGGGATCCCTACTATCATTATCCATCTTCGAAATGAAATCCACTAAATAGTCAAAGATTTGGTTTCTTTATATTTCACGTTTTTACCCACAATTTAAGCACTAAAACAATTAAGATAGTGTAATTAAAAAAGAAGCACAAAATGATTAAAAAAAGCACAATTAATAACATAAAAGCATAATGAACTGAAAAAAAACACAATGATTCATATAGGGTTATAGACATTGAATCACAAAATAAGAGAATGATTAGATGCAAACAAACATAAAGATTATTGAAAACCTAAATTTGCTTGAACTAAAATGCAATTAAATTAAACTAGCTAGATGAAGCCTGTGCGATGTACGGTTTGTTTGAATTTTTTATGTATATATACATATATATGTGCTAAAACTTGTTATATATTTTGATAAAATTCCTGATATCAAAAAATATTATTTCATATTTAATTAATTTAAACTGGAAAATCTCATTCGCCAATTTTGCTTACGTGTCATTTAAATTATTTGATTCTAAAAGAAATTAATAATCTTGTATTCAATTGGTTACCACTTAAATTTATTATCCTATATGGCACGCTGAAAAAATTAAATCTTACGTGGCTTTCTAAAAACTCGGGAAAAAACTTTCCTTTATATATATACTAGTTTTGTGCCCCGTGCAATACCCGGATTGTTTATATTATAATTCAACTTGATTGAAAATAGAATTCTAAATTAACTTTTTTTTGCTTCAAAGTCTATCTAGATTTATCTAATGTGGTACGACATTTGGTGAGAAGTTATAAAACTGAGTTAAGCACAAAATCAGGTACTCAATTCTTCCTTTTTTTACCGTTTAGGTACTCAATTATTTTTACTTTGCTTTTGGGTACTGAGTTAAGATTTCCGGCCAAAAAAAATAAATCAGCCAAAGAATTCAGTACCTTGGGATAAAGAATTTAGTACCTTTGGTTAAGAGTATGTGACCCCACCCGATTAAAAAATTCGCGGGTCAACCCATTTTTTTTCCCTTTCTTTTTCTTTATTCCCCTTTTTGCTCCTTTATTCTTTCTCATTTCTGGAAACATTGCTGCGTCACTTTCGAAGAACAACGAGCAACCTTGGGCTCGATTTTGGGGAAAATGACACCAAAAGCCGCCATTTTTTTTGAGGTAAGCTCAATTTCTCATCGTTTATGTTATTAATTTGATATAACTTTTGGATTTTTTTCCCATTTGTTGATGTTTGTTGCGACCTAGGGTTTTCGATATTTTGGGGTTTTTTTTGAACAAATTGATGATGTCGATTGGTTGTGTCTTTTGTGTTAAATTTGTTGCTTTGTTGTTGTTTGTTGTTGGATTAAGGTAGTGTTGTTGAATGTTAATTTCATGCTGTTTACAATGCGCAAGGGTTGGATTAGTTTATATGTTTTTCGCACTAAAACAGGGGAGGTTTTGGTGAAATAGTGTATATATGCTGAATTTGTGTCCTCACAGAATATTCAAAGTTATCCTTCTATGAGGCTGAATTTTCAGAACTAGGTTCATACAAATTACATATAGTTAGGGGGTATGAATTTTGAACCGTTAAACTAAGAATTTTGGGCCTGAAGTGGTAATGATATGAACTTGTTGTAAGTTGTTCCTAATTATGTAGTTTTTATAAGTTTTGGTTGATCATTTGACTTAGTGGCCCATGTCATAGTTTGGAAGTTCCATTGTAGCAGAATGTTGATTTCATGTTGTTTACAATGCGCAAGGGTTGGATTTGAATCAGGGACAAATGGTTTTGGATGAATTTTGTTAAGCAACAATGACTGATTTTGTGGCTGGACAGAAGAAGCAGCAGCAGGGGCAGACTTGAAGTACCAGCAGCAGGGGAAGCAGCAGCAGCTTCTGTTTTTGTGTTTTTTTTTTCTACAAAATATGGGAAAACCTTGAAGAATTTCTGCCTAAATAAACATGGTCAATGAACCTGTTTTGATGAATTTTGTTGCTGGTTAAACTGCTACAAATTCTGTCTTGCTGTTTTTATTTTTTTATTTTTTTTATTGAAATTGAATCAGGGACAAATGGTTTTGGATGAATTTTGTTAAGCAACAATGGTGATTCTGCCAGGTTCATGCCCCTTTAAATAGAGAAACTAACGACTAGTTTCTTAGTCAAATTTAATACTTTTTTTTAAAAAAAATATTAATTTTTTAATTAGGTATAGGACTCACATACTCTTAACCAAAGGTACTAAATTCTTTAACTCAAGGTACTGAATTCTTTGGCTGATTTATTTTTTTTGCCTGGAATTCTTAACTCGGTACCCAAAAGCAAAGTAAAAAAAATTGAGTACCTAAAAGGTGAAATTTTTAAGAATTGAGTACCTAATTGTACTCTTAACTCTATAAAACTAAATAACGTTGTCGCCTAATTATAAGTTTAATATTTGGTATTTTATCAAAGATGAAACTCTAAAATAATAATCTTATTCTAAAGTTCTATCCTAATTTGATTGAAAATGGAATTCTTAACTAATTTTTTTTTTATCTTATAAAGTCTATCTAAATCTATCCAAGGTCGTGGCGCAATACTTGCCGATTTGTATCTTATGAAGTCTATTTAAATCTATACAAGGTGGCGCGACACTTGGCGAAAAGTTAGAATGTCAAGTGTCGCAGTCTCGTGACTTGACTAAAAATTTAACTTTAGATTTTTTTAAAAAAATTAAAAAGATTGCAATTAAATTAATTTTATATTACAATACATGTTACTCCACCATAATTTTTTTATATCTAAAAAAAGATCAACTAGAAACAATTTTTCAAAAAGTTACAACACAAAGATCAACTACTAAACAATGACATTTTGTGACATTTTGTTTCAAAAAAACAAAGACATTTAATTCAGCCACAACTTGGTCAAATTATGGTTACCCAAGTAGATATATTATTGTTCTAGGGATCTTTGTGAGAGAAAGAATTTGGGAGAATGAATGCAGTGCTACTTCTGCTAGTTGCAATTACATTAATTTTTATTTTTCTTAATGTAGATATTTAACACTGAAGAAATAAGTTTTATCATATGCATGCTAAAATTTTAAAATCATTATGTTTTAGGTGGATTGCATGCAACGAAAGATTTACCTCTTACACATTTGAATTGATCAAATTATTGACGTAGGGCCTGTTCACATTTACTGAACTGAGGTGAATTGATTGAAGCTGAAATGAACTGAGTTGGAAATTAGGAGCTGAACTAAATTGATTGGAGTTGAAGTGAACTTATTGGAGTTGAACTGAACTGAACTGAACTGAAATTAAGCTAAAGTGAACAAGCTCATAGAAATAATTTACAAAATAAATTAGGAACTTTTATTGAAAAATAAATTTAAATAAATTAATATATATATAAAAAAAAATCTATCTTGAGATTTACTTATGCAATAATCCGGCTCATAAATTTTTACTTAGAAATTGCCATATAGAAAATGTCCAAAAATATCAAATTAAAGTTCATCTTTCATTTACTATGTAGTAGTAATTTATACAGTAATTCCCATTATACTGTCCATATCACTATATCATCATGTATATTTAATTTTATTTGTTCATTGCTAATTGATCAGTGGTTTTTCCAAGGTAGTAACTGGCTGATTGAATTGTTTTATGTTGTTAAAAAGACTTTTTTTTTGGGAGACAGAAGATTGAAAAATTATATTTTCATATATAAACATTTTATACAAAAATCACCCACCATTATAACTTATACTATGTATGAGTATCTATTTAGGCCAAATAAAACATGAACGATGACAACGACCTGAAATTGGAAAAATTTATATATAAAAAAATGGGTGTGATTAAGGAATTGAATTTTCATATTCAACATTTTATATGGAAAATTAGAAATCATCACCATTACTGTTATTACGTAGTACGTACGAGTATCTATTTGGCATTTTGGCTAAAACATAAATAACGACAGACGACCTATTTTAGACCTAATTTGAACAACCGAGTATAGACTATAGATACTCCGATCCCGCGATCCGTATGTCACCTTCTCAGTTCTCACAGTCACAACACCAAGCTTCTCAATATTTACTTATGAACACACTTTACTTCGTTAGTCTTTACAGTTGAGATTCATAAGAAGTAGGGATAAGTATGTATATGACATACTGATGATACTAGTATGTAGTTACGTACTGTTGACCTGTTGTACATACAAACATCAATAAATAAATAGTTGTTTCACCACTTTACACCACATTCATTAAAACGTTGCTCTAATTTTGCATCAAAATAATTCACACCACCATTATTTTTTAATAATATGAATACACTGACTAAACTACTAAAGTACACAAAACCCATCCATAAAATTAAATGCAACCACAAAGTGTATTAAATTTCCCACTTCATAATTCCACTATTAACACAACCAATTCCTTCCCTCTTTAACTCCCATCCTCCAATCACCCTTTATAAATACCCCACCAAATAATACATCAAAATCATCATATTTCTCACTAAAATTTATTCCTCCTTTGAAAAAAAAAAATGGGAAAAATAATAAACTCAAAAGAAGTAGTGAAGGTGCAATCAGTGTTAACAGTGGTGTCAAGCACACCAGTAAACCCTCCTAGCAGGACCTGCACACTATCACCACTAGACCGGGCAATGGAGCACCACACACTACACGTAATATTTTATTTCAAATCCGGTTCGATCCAATTCAACCGGGTTAGACCCTTTTTGAATGAGGTGCTAACCATGTATCCGAATGTGGTTGGACGGTTAGCTAAGGACGATGACGGTGGTTGGGTAGTGAAGTGTGCTGATGCTGGATTGCGGGTGCACCGTGCAACGGTTGGGGTTAGTGTTGATGATTGGTTTAGATCCGCCTCTGCTGATGATGAGATGAAACTTATTGTTGGTCAGGAGGTTCCTGATGATACTCAGTATTAGGCTCCTTTTTGTATGCAGGTTATTCATTATTCTCTCTTTTTTCGTTTTACTACTACGTAGAATTTATCGTGTTAATACAGGAGAAATATTCTTGTGATGAAAAACAATAAAAGTAAAATAATTAGTGGAGTTACTGGAATATGTAGTTAAAAAAGATATAGCTTGTAGAAGTTGATGGTTTAGAACTTGGAGAATTGTGGTTCGAAGTTGAAAAATATATACTCCCTCCAATTTTAAATACTTGCTCCATTTCTATTTTTGGCACTATTTATTTGTCCTACTTTGACTAATGTTTGTGATTTATACATAAGAAAAAATATAGTCTTGTGGGTACTTGTTGAAATCATTTCGATGAATAGATTATTAATTTTCAATTGTTAGAATTTATACTTATTGACAATTAAAGATATTAGTGATCAAAGATTAGCATCGACATGCGTGTTCAAGAGAAATGGAGCAAATATTTAAAAACGGAGGAAGTATACAATAATTTTTTATAATTTATTACTACTGTACTTTGTTTCAATTCAATAATGTAGTAGACTAGTAGTGCACTTTTTAGATGTGTATAGAAAATAGTACTCGGTAACTAAAATTCACCCTATTATTAATGTTAGAGTATGTTAACTAAAATAATTTACATTGAAATCATGAAATGTATGATTATAGATAGCATCTAATAAGATTTTTTTCGATTTATGCATCAAAAAATATTCCATTATTAATATTATAGATAGCTAGTTTAAATATAAGCACTTCATATCAATCAATATGCATATTAGATGCATATTGCATAAGCATTATCTACAAATTTAGTATAGTAATACTCCGTAATAAACAAATTTTGTTTATCAAATAATATTTTCGTAAATAAATCAACCATTTATTTATAATATTTTATGTTTGACATGCGTGTACAAGTCTTACAACTATGAGTCTATGACAGACTCCTTTCACTTTCATCACAATAAATTGTCACCCTTTTAATAGTAGAATTCCTTCGTCACTAATCTATTTCGTACTTTTTTTTTAAGTTGAGGAGTCAAGTTGTTGCTATATTTAGGAAAGCATGAGTAAGCAGGTTAGTGAAAATGGTGATGATTAATAAGGTATGTGGGCCTAAATAAAAGGGAAAGAGAATATTTTAGGAATTGAAATAGAACAAGGTTTGACATAATTACACATTTACACACAATAACATTAATTAATAATTATATACTTTTTGGAGAATAACATTAATTATATGCAGTAACATGAAATTATAACCAAGAAAAATGATATGGACCTGGTTATTAAAGAAATCGAGTAGTGGAGCCCATGAATTGGAGTTTATTTTTTATGGATGCAATAGTCAATGAAAGGTATGAATACTGGAGAAACCATTAAATACAGTCTAAAATATTATTACTCTGTACTTTATTTAACCTTAAATATAATGTTCAATCTTGACAATATTTACAATTTAAGAGAATATTTAAAATTAGTTTCCTTAATAATCGTGTACAAAAATTAAATGTAACAACGTTGTGGAACGGAGGGAGTACTGTATACTAATAATCACGCTATTTATGCTAGTACACACTACACAGCAATGGTTCTAACATGTTCACAATTTCCATTGTTGGTATTGACTATATTGCATATCATTAAGGTGCATCTAACGAATTTCAAATGTATCTGGGCACGCGCTATGGATGCAGGTAACTGATTTTGAAGGTGGTGGAACAGCCATTTCATTGAGCTGCCCTCATATGCTTGCTGATCCTATCAGTGTGACCCTACTAATCAAGTCATGGACCGAAGCCTGCAACAACAATGTCATTGTCCACCCTCCGTTCCTCAACACTCATGTTATCAATACCCCGCCCACCTTCATCACTCCGAGTACTACAACTACTTCACCCTCTTACTATGCTTCCAAGTCCAAAGCATTGAATCCGAATCCCAAATTAAAAATGGTCTCAGCAACCTTCAGCTTCTCTGATTCAACAATCAAGCAATCTCTTGCCAAATTTGAGTCCACTGTCCCTGATGTGACCCCATTTGACCTGTTAACAGCCCTTTTTTGGACGCGTATTGCAGAACTCAAGGCTCAGACCCGTGATGACCTCCAACAGTCCATTTCAATCTGCATGGACATGAGGAAGAATTTGCGTGCCCCTTTGCCATATGGATACTTTGGCAATGCCTTACACTTCTCTAAGTTGACAGTAAACACTGACAAAATGTGCAGTGGAGATCTAGGCCAGGTGACAGAGCTCGTGCACCAACATGTGACAGGGTTCAAGGATGAGGAGTTTTGGTCAGCTGTGGATTGGCTGAAGTCTAGGAAGGATGATCAGGGCAAGGACCTCCCTCCATTTCAGATGTACGGTCCTGAGCTGACGTGTGTTAACATGGAGAGCATGATTGCTCCCATTAGTATCCGGGTGAAAGAGTCTCAGCCATTGATGTATGGGATGGAATTTGTTAAGGATCAAAAACCTGCACATGTGTCGTATCATATGGAGAATGTGCAAGGTGAAGGGTTGATTATGGTGATGCCTTCCCCTGATGAAGGCTTAGCTAGGAGAGTGACTGTTACACTTCCTGAGGAAGAACTGGAAAAGCTGTTGCAGGATAAGGTCATTCTAAGCCTAGAACCAACTATGCTGCTTAGTGGCAAATGCTAAAATCATATGCTGACTTATTCTTAATTTTTAATCCTTATGTATGTATGTATGAAGTACGAACTACCAAAACATTAACAAAATTCAAGAGGAGATTCAGTCAGTGGATTTCATGTTTTTAGTCATGTTTAAGGAAATATGTTTCGAATTTGTCAAAAAAAAGGATTGCATGAATTGCATGATACATTCAGGTTCAACTTTTCGTCTGACCTTCTAGAAAAAATCAGTTTTGAGGGTGATCCAATGGAGGTGTATTTGCGAACTTCCATGTCTTTGCAATCATGCCTTCATATGTTCTGTCACCAGCAACCTCACAGAGTGGCACAGCATCAGACACTTCTTTGGATTCTTCTTCAGTGAGCTTGACCTTCAAGGATCCAATGTTGGTATCCAAGTTCTTGATTTTGGTTGTTCCTATAAAAATGAAATATACTCAAATGCTTAGAAGATAACCTACATTCATTAGAAACGGACTAAAAACTCCATTAAATTAAGTTATTTCTGAAGTTTGTTAAGAGCTAGAAATAGTGTAGATTTTGTTTATCGTTACCAGGAATGGGAACTACATCATTCCCTTGGCGCATAATCCATGAAAGAGCTAGTTGAGCTGGTGTGCATCCATGTTTCTTGGAGATTTTCTCCAGCCTATCATATATCATCTTGTTTTTGTCCAAACTCTCTGAACGATGTCGAGGGTGATTGGCCTATCCAGAACAAGAGAACATAGTTTAGAATCATTAAAATCTACTGTCTGCCTCATAAATCATACATGGACATGCAACAAATTTATTTTACCAAGAAACTATTTTGAGGCAGAGCCTCCACAATTCCTTTTCCAGCGAAAAATCCTCGGCCAAGAGGGCTGTACACAACAATACCAATCCCAAGTTCTCTGCCAAAAACATTCACATACCCTATTTCAAAATTTAATCACATTATAGCATTGTTGATTCAATTCCCAACTAATAGCTAAAAGAACACAATAAATAACAGAAGAAGATTACCTGCAAAGGGGAACAATCTCTTCCTCGATGTCCCGAGTCCACAGAGACCACTCCATCTGCACAGTAGAGATAGGATGAACAGCATGGGCCCTTCTGATGGTGTCAGGACTTGCCTCTGACAGTCCTATATACCGAATTTTCCCTTCTTCCACTAGCTTCTTAAGCTCTCCCATCTAATAATGATATATAACAATTACAAACTTAAATTTACCATGGAATCTGAACATATTAATCTGGTTTGTACGAGGTTTAAGACCTAACCGTTTCCTCTATGGGTACTGAAGTATCAACACGGTGCTGGTAATATAGATCAATGTAATCTACATTAAGGCGCTGCAAGCTAGCTTCGCAGCATGAACGTACATATTCCCGTGTTCCCTTCACTATCATTTGAGGAGGGCCTAGGCTCACAATGCCAAACTTGCTAGCTATCTGAACTTTTTCCCTAGGAATATATTTCAGTGCCTGAAATGATACATGATGTGTTACAACAAGGGAAAAAAATATTTCAGTTCTCATAAAGAAACTGCAGTGTTCACAACAATGACGAACAAAATTTGTCAACCCCAGTACCCCAAGATACCAAAAACACCCCCATGAACCATGATGAGCAGGATAAAGACATAAAGTTCACCATAGTATTAAACCAAGCAAAGTTCAATCACAGAAGGCACTGATTCAAGCGGTTTTTGCTAGAAAATTGATTGTTGATCACGCAAGTCTGCTGGATTAATATAAATCTTTATTCATCTAGAAGGCACTGATCATAGATGAATATAAATCTTTATTCTTTACCTTTCCAACAATCACTTCATTCGTATATCCCCCATAGAAATCTGCTGTATCAAAGAAAGTGACTCCTTTGTGAAATGCATCATAAATAATAGCAATCCCGGTCTCTTCAGCTGCAGGAATATCAAAGAGGCCAGTTAAGCCCTGGCATCCAAACCCCAACCTTGATACCTGCAAAAACAAGTTAAACTTGCTTAGGCACATCAACATTAGCATCAGTCACCCTCGATCAGGAACACTAAGATGCTAGAATCAGCAACAAAGTTTGAGGTTTTTTGTTGTCTCGTCCAAAAACTTTATTTCTGTTAGTTTCTCTACAAAATCATTCTAAATGAGTTTATAAAAAAATGTGCTATATTCTACTCCAGAAAAAGATCAAGATCCCATGCCTAGAACGATCAACATTCAACACACAGATTATGCAACTTATGCTGATAAAAGTTTTTGGGTGGTTTACCTCAAGTCCTTGGCTTCCAAGTTTGACCCTTGGAACTTCAAGTTCTCGCTCTTCTCTTTCCATCACAACCTTGCACAGTTGCACTTCTTTCTTCCTTTCCTCAACTTGACTAGAGAAGATCAGTTCTACTCCTACCTTACCGCGTTAGCCATTATAAACCAGAAAAAAATTCTGACAATAATATTTTTTTATAGAAAAGCACATATTTGTAGTTGATTCCATGAGTCTAATCGAATATAATTATAGACTAAGCACATTTATAGTCAACTAAAAAACACTTATGAATAAAGAAGAAATAAAAAAATGCGTGCATTATGTGATAGATCTCATAGCATGTGGAGACTCTTGAGATTAGGACAGTTGATTCCTATTAATATATAATTGATCAGGATAAAACTATAGGTCATAGAATATGATACTTCATCTTATAGGCCGGGATTATAATATGATTGGATTTGTCACCCAGAAAGCAATATTTCAGTATTTTATTCAACAATGGTCTATTTTAATCTGCAGCATGGATATTTTACTTTTTTAATTGCAGTTTACTGAAGCAACTAAGCAACACTTCAATCTGTTCCCTCTGTTTTTGCACACAATTTTATTGAAAGTTTCGCAAAGTTGCAAGACATTTCTTTCACAAGTTTATTTAAATTCTCAAGTATTGTCACAGATAATAGCATAAAAGAGCCAGGCTGCTTCAAATGCAGAACATTTCCAAATCCTCACATACATTATTTTAGTAGATCACGGGGAACAATAATTTATATCCAGCGTATTTCATGCTTAGATGCTTACATTATTTCTAGGATGGATTAAGAAAGAAATGTTGTATTGAGACTATCGACTAATAGATGGAGTAAATAACAGCTCAATGCCCTTGTAAAAGTCCCGGTCATAGATGTTTCCAGTGAAGTGGTTGGCGTCCACACTTATTAAGTTGTCCTGCTATCTTCAAGGGTGTATTTGCAAACCTCCATGTCATGGAGCTCATGCCTGCGTATGTCCTGTCACCTGCAATCTCAGTGATAGGTACAGCATCAGAAATTTCTTTCAGGTCTTTTTCAGTAAGCTTCACTTTCATGGCACCAAGATTGGCATCCAAGTTCTTGATTTTGGTTGTCCCTGCAGAAAAAATTAATTTCCACATTTCAGTGCTAATCAGTTACAGACCTTGTTGAGACAACAACAGACTTTCAAGTGCAATTTCAGAGAAGAAACTAGTCAATGTTCATTGAAGAGGCAAATCAATCATTTTCTTTATGTTCGGATAAAGTGAGAACACAATATTTGTAAGAGTCAGGCCTTGTTTCCATTAGCTTATAAGTTTATCGATTAAATGATAGTTTTGATCAGTAAAAATCAGCTTTAATCAATAAAACTAATTTAAAACTAATTTTAATCAGCTACAATTTTGAACGGTAAAATTCCATCAGCAAATCTTGTCGAGAGAGATGCTCCTCCTATGGTGTCCGTGGTGCACGACAAAGGAAATTAATAACGTGCACCTCTGGCTCCAATAGAAAAAAAAAAATAAAAAAAAAAAATAATAAATAAATAAATAAATAAATAAATAGAAGAAGAAGAATAATGGTACATGCCGGTAATTGCATCGACCACTGCCTGGCTATCTGCAGTACCGCCTCATCCAAGAGCAGGGGTGATATCACCTGAAGCTCAGCAAACCTCAATTACGTTTCATGGAGCGTTAGCTCCAGGTCTTTTTCCAGGCAATGGAACAGTGTCTTCATCTCACAAGATCTAAGTTTTTAATGATCACATTTCACAAACAAGGGATGATAACATTTTCATCACACCAATCCGGTAGGTGAATAATTTTCACATAGCATCTAAAGATCAAAGTGAATAAAGTCACTCACCAGGTATAGGTACAACATCATCCCAATGATGCAGAATCCATGACAACGCCAGCTGAACTGGAGTGCAACCGTGTTTCATTGACAGATTCTCTAGCCGAGAATATATTATCTTGTTTTTGTCCAAATTTTCCCCTTGAAACCGAGGATGTGAACTCTAAAAAAAGGAAACAATTACCACTTTAGTCCTTCAACAACCCTTGTTCAGGGCCAGGAGGAGAGGAAAGATGGAAGGGAAAGGAAGTGTGAAAATCCAAATTGGTCATGAGCTTTTGACATACCAGAAGACTGTTCTCTGGTAATGTCTCTACAACAGCTTTGCCCCCAAAAAATCCACGGCCGAGAGGGCTGTAAGGAACAATACCAATGCCCAGCTCTCTATTAAAAGAAAATAGCAGGTAATTCTCATTAGTTATATACTTTGTACACAGTATCACATACATACAAGAAATCTTGACACCCTTCAAGCAATTATATGTTATATGTATGTATACATGTATCAATTCCCAAACAACCCAAGAAAATAGAAACAGAAGCTGCAAATTTCAGCAGGTAATAACATGTAATTAAATTAGAGCTAATAGAGATAGCTGAAGAAAGAGTAACAACGCTGAAAGATTGTAAATTCATTAAGTACTAACAAACAAAGTTTAGTACTCTGAAATCTGTGGATTGTTATTAGCAATAGATCTGAATCACTTACCTACAGATAGGAACTATCTCTTCTTCGATGTCACGTGTCCAAAGAGACCATTCCATTTGAACAGCAGTTACTGGATGAATTGCATGTGCTCTTCTTATTGTGTCTGCACTGGCCTCTGATAACCCAATGTATCTAATTTTTCCTTCTTCAACTAATTTCTTGAGTTCGCCCATCTAGAAGCACATTCAATTAACATGAATGGCAGTTATTCTGAAAATTATTCCACAAGGTCCACAATACTTTTAGAAAAACGCTTCAGATATAAATCAGATTGACAACTTCTTCTTACAACTTACAGAGCCAATATAAACAAAGGTAAACTGGATAGATTGCTTACTGTTTCCTCTATTGGTACCGAAGTGTCAATACGGTGTTGGTAATACAGATCAATATAGTCTACACCAAGACGATTCAAGCTAGCTTCACAGCATGAACGTACATATTCTGGAGTACCCTTCACTTCCATAACTCCAGGTCCAAGTCGTCCAATGCTTACAATGCCAAACTTCGTGGCTAGCTGAACCTTTTCTCTTGGCAACTGTTTGAGCGCCTGCACAGTGTACACATTTAGGTGCATTTCATACAAGTCAGTAGTCGAGTTAGAACTGCAAGAACACAAAGGCAAACAAGCAACTCAAAACCTTGGATCATGACTCCCTCAATCCTTAAATGATACGCTATAGTTTACTGGGGTCACTTTTTCATTGTTTTCAGGAATTTTGAATCTAGCTTCATCAGAGCAAAGTAGTCTTTCTTTGAAATTCTTTGTTAAGGGTGCCATGTAAATGTTTTATTATAATAAATTAGATTTAGTTAGCGGCCAAGTAATTGGGATGGCCTATACTTCGTATAAAATATGTGGCACTATGATCTTAAGGATTGAGAAGTGAAAGCACGACAACCACTAATTGCACTAATTAACTGCTGTCTTAACTTGGAAATTATTCCATTCTGCAGCTCTAGAAATACACTTTTCCTGTGACATAACTAAAGATGAATGTACTTTACGATGGTGCTAGTTCACATGGAAGAAGGATGGAATGATCGTTACACTACATTTTTGTCAGCTACTAATGCAATACATTCCTATCAGAGATATATGAGAAAGAGTGCAGCATGAGAAAATTGACAAGCACGAATTTATGCAGAGCATTGCATACCTTACCAACAAGGACTTCATTTGTAGAAGCTCCATATACATCTGCTGTATCAAAGAATGTTATTCCTTTATTAAATGCATCCTTAATTATAGAAATTCCATCGGTTTCAGAAACAGGAGCATTGTAGACTCCAGATAAAGCCCATGCATCCAAACCCCAACTTTGAGACCTACAAAAAACAAAGTAAAAAATTTAAATTGAATAAACAGGTATATTGAAGAAATCCGAGCTATTTGCTCAAGTTTCTGGTTAATTTAAGATTTGATTGAGTATTTTCTTTCACTTTCAAGCATATGCTTTGGAGAATATTTTTCTCTATATTTCTGTGAAAGCGGCGCTCAATCCTCTTGGGGATTAGCAAACCTAGTATTGTACAATATATACACAGAGGCTGACCACTAGAAAGCTAACACCTAGGCAAGTAAAATACAAAAGAAATAGCTGATGACAGACTGTACACTCTGTACATACAGCAAAGAAAAGAAAGAAAACAGAGGAAGAGAATACATATTGTACATGAACAACAATTAGGAGAATAAGTATATGATTAGGCATGTAATTTCTTCATCCCCTCCTCAAGTTGGACTTGGTTATGAGAAACAAGTCCCAACTTGGCAGATAAGAACTTGTGTTGTTGTTCAGAGAGAGACTTTGTCATTATATCTGCGAGTTGCAAAGAAGATCGAACAAAGACAGTACAGAGGAACCCTCCTTCTAGTCTTTCACGCACATAGTGACAATCTTTAGAGAGGTGTTTAGTACGCTCATGAAAAACAGGGTTGTCAGCTATGTGCATTGCAGATTTGTTGTCACAATACAAGGGAATCGGTTTTGGGATACTCATACCAAGGTCTTCAAAAATTCCATCCACCCATTCCATTTCACTCGTGGTTTGTGACATGCTTCTGTATTCTGATTCACAAGAAGACTTGGATACAGTTTTTTGTTTCTTAGTCTTCCATGAAACAAGGCTTCCTCCCAGAAAAACACAATATCCTGTAAAGATCTTCCAGAGAAAACACAGGATCCATTATCTGCATCGCTATAAGCAACAATTCTCATTTCTGAATTGTTGGGATAGAATAACCCCAGATCCGGAGTACCTTTCAGATATTTCACAACATGTAATGCTGCTTGCCAATGCGGTTCTCGAGGGCAGCTCATAAATTGGCTCAGCTGCTACACAGAGAAAGAAATACGGGTCTGCTCAAATTGAGATAGAGAAGCTTTCCTATCAGGCTTCTATATCTCTCAGGATCAGCTAGAATTTCTCCTTCCTGAGTAGATAACTTCACATGCTTTGGAAAAGGAGCTGTCACAGGCTTGCAGTCACTCAACCCTGTAAATTCCAACACATCCAGCACAAATTTTCTCTGATTTAGGAGAGTTCCTTTAGAGAAATTAGAAACTTCTAAACCCAAGAAGTATCTCATTTCACCCAAGTCCTTTATGGTGAAGTGAGCATCCAATTCTCCCTTTAAAACTTCAATATACTCCTCATCATCTCCTGTGATGAGAAGATCATCCACATATACTAACACAATTGTTTGTTTCCCTGATTTTATCCTCGAAAACATACTGTAATCTCTAGTGCATTGGCAGAATGCTCTTTCTTTCAGAAACCTTGTGGCTTGTTTTAGCCCATACAAACTTTTCTTTAATTTGCATACCTTTCCATTAGGAGCATTTTTATATCCTTGAGGGGGCTTCAAGTAAATTTCTTCATCAATAAACCCATGTAGGAAGGCATTATTGATGTC